TGTTAAAAGATCATTCCTAGGGTGGTAGTAAACCAACAAAAATGTGAGGGCTTTTAAAAACGTTGATATATTATTGAAATGGAAATACCCATATACGCGCATGCGCGATGGATTGCGCGCGCACGCCTTTTCGCTCGTTTTCTCGTTTCGCCTTTTTTATCTTTTGAATCTCTGAAGCGCAGGTATCGCTCATACGCCGTCTCGTAGCCTGTAGTGCGAGAACTCGTGTGGACAGACGGACAGACAAACGGACAGACAGAGAGACAGACAGACAGAGTTTTTATGAGGATTATCTGATACCTAGCAGCATTGGATTCTACAGTTCAAGTGCCCTGTATGCAGATTGCAATGCGCAAGCTCCTGAGAACTGCAACACAATAGTCCCATAACCATCCAAAAGGGAAGCAGCGCTTCTTCTGCCAAATTGGAGCCAACTTTATTTAGCTATAACCTGAGCTGGGTCTTCACACCTTTCTGGGTGGAATGCAATGCGTTAAAAACTGAACATAATGTAGTCTAGACAAAGTAATGGCGAGAAAGCAGACAGACCTGTTTAGCACATTGACCAGTTTTGTGTATAATATATACTTTTTGCTAATTGCATTTTGTTACTGTAAAAGTAACTTGAGGATTTGGATAACCAGGCCACACAGGGGCCATGTAGCTTCCACATAGGCACATGTTGAAAAGGATTGAGTAACAACAATTGAAAGTCCACAGCTTGTGAGGTGGCATCCCCACTCTGGTGGTACAATGACATTTTCTGTGTGGTGTGCCCCCTGTGGGTTTGGGTAGTGGAATGTGTGGTAACTCCCCACTTTATCTCTGGGTTGTGGTTGTTGATTGTTCCCCCCATATGGAAGGTAGGGCCAGGACTAAATAATAATCCCCATTTGGCACAATTACGCGTGCGCACTATAACCTGCCAGCGAGGGAGTGTGCGCGATAGACTGCATGTTGTTGCATTTTGTTACTGTGGACTTTCAATTGTTGTTACTCAATCCTTTTCAACATGTGCCGATGTGTAGACTTCATGGCCCCTGTGTGGCCTGGTTATCCAAATTCTACAGTAACAAAATGCAACAACATGCAGTCTATCGCGCAGGGGCCATGAAGTCTACACATCGGCACATGTTGAAAAGGATTGAAAGTCCACAGCTTGTGAGGTGGCATCCCCACTCTGGTGGTACAATAACATTCTCTGTGTGGTGTGCCCCCTGTGGGTTTGAGTAGTGGCGTGTGAACTCCCTGCTTTATCTCTGGGTTGTGGTTGTGGACCGATAGTGAGGGAATAAATAGTCCCTGTTTGGCGCAATACCAGGGGCGTAGCCAGGATTGAATCTTAGGGGAGGCAAATATGTTATTCATGATTAATTGCGCGCATGCGCAATGATGTTGCGCAATATCAACGTTTACTCGCGATGATCGCGGAAGGCCGGAGAAATACGGCAGTGCCCGGAGCTATATATCCCAGGCTTGTAAGGATATGTCCGCTCTTGGTTGATGTAACCCAGTGTTAACTGCATGCTCTCGCTGCTGGCGCTTGTCGTTGCTTACACTGCGAAAAGTTGTAATAAATTATTCATACGTCGGCAAAAACAGGGGAGGCAACTGCCTCCTCTGCCTCAATGCAGCTACGCCCGTGAATACCGTTGTATTTTCGTTGGCTGTCACAGTCGAAGAATGTCTGCCTTCGTGTTACTCTCCGCTGCCATTCTTCTCGTAGCAGGTTGCTACGCCGATCCTCACGTCGCTGTGCACGGCGTACTGAGCCACGCTGCTGGTCACCACGCGGTGGAAAAGCGCCAGGCAGGCGCCGAACTGGGCCCCGAAAAGATCCGGTGTGTAATCAACAAAGTGAACGAAGCGTTCGGCGACGGCTCCGAGGAGGTTTCTCGGTGCCAGAAAGCGGCCGACGACGATTTTCTGGGCGACAACAACGCGCTGCAAACAACCATCAACGACGGGTTCGAAATTTTCTGTGCTCCAGAATGTGGGACAGTAGTTCTCAACGCTCACAAAGAGTGTGGAACTTTCGATATGATGAGTGGAGCTACGGACTTTCTCGTCGGATTGTGCGCCACAAACAAGAACGGAGGAAAGTGCTACGAGAGTTACGCCAGCAGCCTTGGTCTCTTCGTCACTACAGAAGCACCCTGCTATTACTCGGTCTTTGCGGGGACACAAACGTGTGACACAAACTGTCAATCTAAGCTACAGTCGGCAGCTACAGACCAGGGTTGCTGTATGAACGTCTACCACGACTTTTTCGCCAGTGTTGCTAACCTCAACTTCACTGCGCTGTACTCTACGTGCAAAGTTGACGTTCCCCCCAACTGCAACAACAGCCCTTTGAAGAGTAATACTGGCTGAAGCCCAGTTGTTTGACAATGAGTCGCGCCATATAAGGACATAAAACATTTTCATTACTGTGTATTATCTTGTTTCCGGCCTTGCCATGTGCACATGGCCAGGCACATTGAGTATGTATGCATAATATAAACGTTGAGGAAGAGGTGGTTAAAGGTTGCGTTAGGCCGCATTCCTGGAAAGAAACTGGGAGCGAGGCTAGAGAGTCTAACTATGTATATAGCGTGCCAGCTTTGTGCACAATGGAGGGTTCAGAATGAATATTAACATTCCACATTAAGTTTATTTTGCTATATACACACCCTTTTTTTAAATTAAATTCTCTCTGCAGTGGGTGGTGTATATACCTGCAATCTAATCACCTAGCCTGTATGCTACATGTATAATATTATAAACTGCTATAGGACAATGCAGATGGCAGTACAATTTCCCTCTTCTTGCTAGTAATTGTAGCTCTCGTGGTGTAGACATGGCAATCCATGCATGCAGTCTTTGCCCTCTAGCATAAGCTGTATCAGCATGCACACAGCTTGCTACATCGGTGTTAGACAGAGCGTCATGGTATGTAGGACACCTTACTACTTTCTCGTGCTCTATTGGTGTCCTGATTAGAGGGGTTCAAACAGCTAGGTTTACACATAGCATTTAAAGAGGCTGCACACACACTACTGGGGGAGCTGTCATTTTAGAGCTCATTCACACACTCACACAGGACTGTATAGCCTAAACAATTTTTTGGGTTCAAACACAGTGAATGTGTTCCTACAGCACTTGAGAGCTCAAAAAGTAGCTACAACAATCGGCTGGTCATTATGCATAATTATTTAGAGGTCACTCGTAATAATTACATACCTGGTCTGAAATGACCCAGGGTTCTACAGACAACTCTAGCATCATCATCAGTCCAGTCAGAGTCAGTGATGGTACCCCATACTCCAGACATGTAGACCTCCACTCTACCTTCCCACTGGTAGGAACCTCCTACTAGACGAACGTCCCCGTCGTGGTAATACTGACCGTCTGTTCGCAAGAGACGAAAGTACGTATTTACAATTCGGACAGTAGAGTAGCCTTAGCTACATGTCAATGTAAATAGCGGTGTCACAAAAAGCAGAAGTCGCGAAAAGGACGTCATGACTGCAGTGATGTTTTATGCTGTAGCTATAGCTATGCTACATTGCAATTCCCTAGAGGTTGCTCTATAATAATAAGCGTGTCTACCGACGCTCTAATTATTGTGCAGGCTTATGTACAGACATACCAGGTGAATGCAAGGCATTTTTAGCCTTGAACATTATGTGCACCTGGACGACATGCGCACATGTTCTCTACAAAAAATACGGTAAAGCAACCGCGTGGTGTACAACGCGCTAACCTAATTAGCAATTCCCTTGTAGAGAACATGTACGCATGTCGTCCAGGTGCATTATGTTCAAGGCTAAAAATATCTTGCATTCACCTGGTATAATATTATAGCGATACAGAAATTTTTTATGCCTTCCCTGACAAAGCGATCGTTTGAAGTGCGCCCTTGATTTTAAGGTCTGCTGCTGGCAGAGCATCCCCATGCCCACGCGGGGGGATTTCAACGTTACAGAATGCGATGACAGCGTTGTTTGGAGTTTCAGTATTTTTAATTTGAAGACGGTTCGTTGAAGGGCTGGACGCGGCCGGATCCGCGCAACCGCTGAGTGTCTCGACGAGAAGGAGTGCAGTCGTGCAGACTCAACTCGGTATGCGAGATAACAGTGCAGAAACAACGAGCAGCGACAGCGCCAACGTTTTCCTGCGCGTTTAGATGCGCTACGGTATATAGCTACCTTATTAGAGGGATAAAATATCCGGACCCCGGATATTCCACACTATCCTCGGATAGATATCCCGGGGGTAACTGTGACACCGGAAGCATGAAGAAGGCTGATCTCGCTGATGAATCGGACTCTGCCAGGTCTGCTGTATGGTATTGTTGCAAATTTCTCGCCGGAGTCCTCAGAATCCTGTTCTTTGGTTCGCTGATTTTGCTCATTGCCATCGTCTTGTCTCGCCTGGGAGAACGGCCAATGGAACCGTGGGGGGGCGGTGGGACCTATATACGGTGGGGACGGACTTCGTGCCCAGAAACTCCAGGGACTGAGTTGGTATACCAAGGTCGAGCGGCTGGAAGTTTCTACGATCACAGAGGAGGAGGCGCAAACTACCTCTGTGTCACAATGGAGCCTCAGTCAGGGAAATTTCACCCAGGAGATAGCAGCAAACACGTTTCTCTCTTGTATGGAAGTGAGTACCATATTCGCCTAGATGGCCTGCCATACAGCAGACAGTTGCATGACCAGGATGTCCCTTGCGCTTTATGCCACATGACAACCCGAGGAGCAGTTTTCATGCTCCCTGGTCGCTATGAGTGTCCATCGGGCTGGACCCAGGAATATCATGGCTACCTAGTTACTGCACATCATATCAATCATAGAACTATGTTTGAATGCATGGACATAGAACCAGAGAAAGTTGATGGTGGACATGCAAACCATGATGGGGCGCTGTTTCTCAACGTGGAGCCTCGCTGTGGCAGTCTACCATGTCCTCCTTACGATAACACAAAGGAAATGACTTGTGTTGTATGTAGCAAGTAACTATAATAGCCACTGCATAGAACATTTTTGGCTAGAGTAAAATTTTTAGGCTCTTTTTCGACGTTATCTGTATTCATACCCTTGATAACTATGTGGACTTGAATAAACTGCTCTACTCCTGGTGGATTGGCTTGTGTCAACAACTATGTAGTGAGGTAGAAAGACAAGACAAGGCAAGGCAAGGCAAACAAGTCAACTACACCCAGAACAACTCGAGGAAAAGAAGAGCTGCCCTGGGTGGGATTTGAACCCACGACACTCTGCTCACTGCGCTCTGCCAACTGAGCTACCAGAGCAACTCAATCATTACGCAGCTAAGACACGCAAAGGTACATGACACCATCCTCATTGATTCAAAACATCAGACAAAGATGTACTTCGTGTGTCTTAGCTGTGTAATGACCCCATGTTTCTTCCTTTTGCATGTTTTGAGAAAATAATTCCCCTTAATTTTGATTTCTCTACTTGTAGCCTGGGAAGCATGGAGTGTATCACTGGCCCATTTCACAGCTAAGACACACAAAGCTACATGACACCAACCCTATATCTTTGTCTGAGATTATTTGCGTATGAATCAATAGGACAAGTGATGGTGTCATGCAGCTTTGTGTGTCTTAATTAGCGTGTAATGACCCCTTGTTTGATCAATCCCTATATCCCACTTCATTTTGAACAAATGATTTATCCACTTGTTTCCATTTGAAAAGCTCCAACAAAGAATAGAAAGTAACGCAGATGCTCAAAAGTATTGTAGCTGGCTATAGATAACCACCGATCTAGCAATGCATAATATGTGGCTCTCGAGAAGTTTCTCCCCAAGTAAACAACAAATTGTAGTCTCCCGGAGCCAGTTTGCCAGCCCCTCTATGGGAGCAGGCTATGCGCGAGACTGCAGAGACGGAGGAACGCCGAGATCAAGGCCGCACGGCGCTGCGTGCGCATCAGGAAACATCCCTAACTGTGGACTGCTGAGTAAACCAATGATGACAGCATCAACAATTAGCATGTACTCAGTTCCACTCTGATGTTCATGGCGGCCAGCTCAGCCACCAGATATCTGAACACATAGGGAACAGTGATGATCTCGATCTGGCCACCATCGCTGCACACTTGGCACCTCCATCGAGAGGAGCTCTCAGTGGTGCCAGTGGAGGGCCCTCTCACCAACATTGGAGACAGGAGACTTCCACACTTCTTACACAGCCGACTCTACAGCAAACAATAATATTCATGCTTCGTAATAAAATATAGCCACACACTGAAACCTGTTCTACTATATAGTATGTAGACAGCTTTTGTTGTCATTGTCACAACACTGCATGATTTGAAGGTGCAATGCCACATTATCATAGTATCCTAATAATAACTTCCAGCGTCTATATATGGTTCTCAAGCTATATACACACAAAGAATTTGTGGTGCATGTGTACAGGGTGTTCTTTAATAATGTAACGTTCTACCCTGGCTCTTGAAGACAACAAAAGAGCAGGCTATCGTTTATACCAGAGATCTGTCAGAGCAGTTGAGGAGTCTGTCTTGGAGGAGGAAGGAGCTGCCATGGGCCAGCAGAGAGTCTCTCTCCATCTCCCCGAACCTGATACCTCCCGCCCTCTTACGCCCCTTCACTGGCTGGTGGGTCACTATGTCTATTGGACCCGTCGTCCTCACCTAATACACACATACATACACAGAGAGGTTGTGAATAATAGCAAAGTTGGCCAAAGGGTGCATAATGTACAAACTGAGCATGTGGTGATTTTAAGGTAATAGTATGATCATTATGGTAAAAAAGGCAAAAAGACACCTTTTCCAAGGAAACACTTAAAGACTTGCCATAACCTATGACACTCTGCCGTCTAAGCGAGTGCTCTACCAGGCGTTTAACGTATAGTAGTTGAGGTTTAACTGAACTATATAGCATTACATAATTATAGTGAATTTCTATCCAGTGTGCAAAGTGCAGGTGTACAGACCTGGAACTTGTCAGAGACCATGTGTCTGAGTCTCTGGTAGTAGACGACTCCAAAGAAGATGTCAGCCTCAAACTCTCTTCCAGTCACTCCACTGTACATCCTCTCATTCCCATAATAGTTGTAGCCAGCTATGTATTATATGGCATGGGAGAAAGAGCATGACTTAACTATAGTTTGAGAAGGTGTAGCCTACAAGCATAATATCTCGCCCTGGTATCTCAGCACTCGCCTAGAGAGCAGAGTGTCGTGGGTTCAAACCTACCTATATAGGGCAGCTCAACTTACTTCAAGCTCTCCTGGGTGTAGTAGCTTTGCCTTGCCTTTCTACGTACACTGCTGATGTCACATGCAATAATGCAGCAACACAGTATGCGTAGACACATTATTATGCATATCAACTTAGTGTGTTACTTCCACTTGCACAAATTTTGTCTCGTTGTGGAGCAAATATAAAATTGAAGCACACAGAATGACATAATTGCTGCAGAAACCTTTCTTCAGTAGTCGTCCAAAGTAGTCTACGGCTGAGTTGTCCTCGGAGAAGGTGAATGGAGTTGCATCGTGACACAGCCCGTGGAGGGCAGCTGATTTGCCTGCCATCGTCTCTATCATCATACCTACACAGTATAACAGGCAGGCACATAGTATGCAACTTAATGCTCCAACATTAAACTTTGTTTCTGTGCTGTCAACATTGGAAATGCCAAATAGAATCTTGTGCATGCAATAAAAGACCAAAGTATAACTCAGAAATTCACATTTTAGTGTGGTTTCAGACAAAGAAAATTGCAAATTCAGTGACCTTCACTACTTCTGACCATACAGTAGTAAAACATCAAAACATGGAGGTCATACCGATGGTCATTCTGGAAGGGTAGCCATGGGGATTGAAGATAATGTCAGGGACCATCCCACTCTCCGTGAATGGCATGTTCTCCACTGGCCACTTCTGACTACACAAGCACACACATTGCATCACATGAATATCATAGTTTCATTACATGTATCTACTTGCCTGCAAATTCCCTTTTGCCCATGTCTGCTAGCAAACTTATCACCAATGATTGGATTCCTCTGCAAATGAGTTTTCAGAACGCCTATAGTATAAGCCCCAGGGTGCCAGATAGTGACTGAAGACTGGCAATATCTTACATTGACACGAAGTTTGAGAAAGACTCTCTGTAGTCTCCCCTCCCCACTCTCGTCTCCCAGCAGCTTTATCTGAGAGCAACAACAAACACAGCCTTTGGAATACCTATGAATCTACACATTAAGGTGAACCCACAGTCTGGATATGTATATACCTGTTCCAGGTAGGCTGGCTCTATACTCTTGTAGTAGGAGACTTTAGAGACACCAGCATCCAGATCAACATAGCTACATTGAATGGGAATATAAAAATATCCCAGTGGCTAATTTTGGTCATTACTTCATATCTCACTAAAGCACTTGTTTGTTCTCTTTTTTAACTGCCTATTGATAGCTCCTACACGCACCACACTGGGGTCTCACACTATGTGAACGTAGAGGTACACGAACGAACCTGTAAAAGGCATCTCCCTCCTGGAGGTAGGCACCAATTGGGGGAAACCCGTTACCCTCCAGTCCTGTCTTTGCAGTGTTGTCCCCTGGCAACACCCCTATAGAACACTTATCACCTACAATTTCAGAAACAGAGGTGTATTTGCCTTACCAAACTGTAGATTAGCTCCACCTCTGTCTTTACTGATAGACTGGAGATCTATCAACTACAGATAGGGAATACAGATTCTGTTAGCTAGAGTACATATGTGACTCCTGGATGTAAAAGAATCTTCCTCACCTCAGTCTTATAGACACTTGCGTGAGCAAATCCTCTCTCATATGATGCCTTGTTGAGAATCATGGCATCCTCCATATCATAACCCTTTCATTAATGAGAGATATACGCAATTAATAAAAGAGCTACAGTGGCTAAAAGATAACTTCAAAGGTTCTGCAGCATCAAACAGTACCACGCATATCCTTACAGTGTAGGAGATGACGCAAATGACTGCATTGGTTCCGTGAGGATAGTTGTCGATTTTGAGGTGATCGTGAGCATACGGTCTCACCATAGGTACCTGGGGAGTCTGGGAATAGAAGAGAAAAACTATAAGAATGGATTCCATGCATTTCTTGTGAGTGAGGCGAGCAGATAAAAATTTGGCGGGTATTTAGAATGACACTAAATTTCTTGAATGTATTTGGAATCACTACAGCATTATAGTACATGCACAGTGCCTGTCACACACACATGGTTACATGTCATACTAACCTGAAGTTTGTAGAGCTTGTGGTCCATTCTATAGGGGAGGGAATGGGCAGGTGTCCCCATAGTTTGCTTGCCCATCTATAGTTTAGTTTAGAAAGGTATACAAAGAGAGAGACCCAGTTTGTACACATCTTTCAAGAGTGTCTGATTAAACACTGTAGTTGGCTAGGTGGGCTCGAATTTTGAAGAGCTTTTACAACACAGGTCTCTAACTGTGGGGATGTGTCCATTATAAATCTATACACCTGGCACTGGTACATGTTCCTGGGGCTCTGGTTGAAGTCAGAGTACGGAGTGAGTTGAGCTATGGCACTCAGCATCGCCTTCTCATCCAGCTCCATGTGAGTTGTAGCCTGCACAGAATTTGAGCCATACATTTAGCTATCTGTGTTTGTAGATAGATGTATAATTATACAGCGTACATCTTTGATAGCCTCTTCTGGAACCACTGCAATATCCATATAGACCTGTCAATATGCAATGTCAGTTTGAGATTAATACAGCAGGTAATTCTTACGTATGTATGCCACACAAAATTACGCCAAAGTAGATTATGAACAATATAATAAGTCCACACCATTAATGCAGTATAGAGGAGAGTAATGGTAGCAATTAGTGAAATCAGTGCTGTATCACTGGATGGTGGACCAGTGTGATGCTACTTGAGCTGTCCTCTACCTACGCAAGTGTGATATTGTAGCCAGTTGTAGACCTGTTCAAAGGATCCAATCATCTCAGTGGTATTGGTGGAGAGGTTGAGGACAGGTCTGACCATCCTCGCCGGGCCGCTCATAAGGAACAGCCCCGGGTACTGCCCACCTGTCAGAACTGGCACCAGCCCTATCTCCAATGTGGAGGGGACCTGAGACATGGAGGTTACAACTTCATTACATCACAATATATAGAACCCCTCTCAGTGAAACCTTTGAAAATAAAGGACCCCAATCCGAATTACGGAAACCCCGCCAATATGGACAAACCCTTTTGTCCAATTAATGACTGGATTAGAGGAAATGTCCTATGCAGGTACACTATTTGTTTTTGGCGAAGTTGCATGGCCCAACTCCTCCATTCTCTGAAACTCTAAAACTTCACGTTTAATACCATATACATCATATACCTGGAAATAAATACACCATGGGGAAGGGCCAATTGCCCAATTTAACGCCATGGGTATCTCCTTAAATAAGCAGAAATTGATGTATAAAATATAACGCCTAGTATTATACCCATATATAAATTCTTATGGACTCATGGAGGCTCTGGGCATATATGTATATATATTCCATGGCTGGCTATAGGGATGTACCTTTTCCTTCCCGAGGGCCTTGAGTGTCCTGAGTTTGATGGCAATCTCAGCAGCCTGGGCCTGGCTCACCTCTCCCACCACTCTGCCATCCAGTAACACAGAGACTGATGATGACCCAGTGTCTCCTACTGCCACTGTGGGAGCTCCCAGTGGAGTCATTCCTAGAGATACCAGGAGTTTAGGTAGGTGGACTGTGGGTGGAGTAGAGGTAACCACCTATAGTGGGAGGGATGGGAAAAGAGAGAGAGCGAAAAATGTTTAAGTAGGAAGGGAGGGAGAAAGAAGAAGGAAGAGGGATAAGAATAGAAGGATGAAAGGGGGAGGGAAGGGAGGAATAAAAAAAGATGTGAAGAGACAGGTCAGAGGGAAGCAAGCAAAAGCAGGAACATAGAGACACACACACACACACCCGACAGGCAGCAGCCAGATGATTGAGCAGGCCACACGGTGTTCCATCTGGAGTGTGCACTGGACAAAGAAAACCTGCAAAATATGCAAATGCATGTCAATGAACCTTGCACAACTCAAATGGTACGTACGTATATTGCTACTGTTACATCACATAATTGTATGGAATTATGTTGATGGTGGGGTTATAATCCATTATGTGTGTTTGAAATTCAACGTGGTGCGGCCACAAACACAAATAGCAATTTAAAGGCATGTGTGTATGTCCAACCCCAGGCCTCGGGAAGTAGTTTCCTGACGGAGGTGGTCCTCATCTCTGTGAAGAAGGCTCCCCTGTGGACAGCTCTAAAATGAGAGAGGTAGCGATAAAAGTTGAGCTTCTCGGCCACTATGGTGAACCCTGAGTTCTGTAGAGAGACACGGAACACACACTAACACACCAACCTTCTTTAACGACAGCAGCATGCATCCACAGCAGGGGTTACAGTTGTTATATATATATAGTGTGTTGAATACTTTTCTGGCACTACAAGCAATACCAACGGCTTCAGTACTATATACCAGTGCGTTAAAAATTTAACCCTTTGGGCACCATTTACACAGAGCCTCCATAAGTGCATAAGAATTTATATATGGCTATAATATGGGCGCTAATATGGGCGCTAATATGTT